CCTTTCCATATTTATGTACACTACTCTTCTATATAAGAAAATCTTTCTGGGCGTGTGGATGATCAGAACACACCCTTTCATTTCTTGGCTCATCTTCTCTGGTTTGAGCTGAGTTGACATGGTATCAGAGCAGGTTTTTCTAACCTGTCCTTAATTAAAATCTGTCTTGGTTTGTGAGATCGACCCATCTACTTCAACTCTGGATCTCTCTGGTTGCTATACTGATCAGCACAAGTTTCTCGTTCTTTTCTGGAAGATCGCCTTCAGCAGTAGGGTTTTCTCTTTTTCTCTCAATCGGCTACTTCAATCACTATGAAATTTCAGATCTAAAGTCGCCTAGGTCAGATTTATATAGATCTACAATTTGTTTCTGGTTCAGATTACATTTGAAGGGTGTTTTTCCCTTCTTCTTGTTCGATAGTCCAGGAAACTTTACCCTTTTTTGGACTGTTATGAGTTTGCAACCTTTGTCTGGCTGTTTTGTGAATGGGTTTTGTTACCTCCTTGTGGTGTATGATTAGACATACGTCTTTCATCAAGTCTGGTTTTATTTGGACCTTTGGCTGCTTTTTTATTCCCTTAGTTTCTTGTTTCTTTGTTGCTGAAATGGCTATGGAGAAAAGGGATATTCTGCTAGTAAAGTTCAATGGGACCAACTATGCTTTCTGGAAATTCCATTTCCAGTTCTATGTTGAGGGAAATGGTTTATGGGGGGCTCCACAAAACAACCCGATGAGTCTGATTCCAAGGGGCTGAAACAGTGGAAGATCAACAATGCCAAAGTTGTGTCTTGGCTTCTTGTTTCCATTGAAACTGATATTGCTATTCCAATGAGAAGATTCCGGACTGCTAGTGAGATGTTCACCTATATGGAAAAGGTGTACCAACAATCCAACATCTCTCGTCAGTATCGGATTGAGACAGATTTTTTCTTACAGTCAAGGTGAGAAGAAAATACATGAGTACTATGCTAGCTTTGTGAACTTGTAGACATAATATGAATTGATTCATATGGATGAATCCATTTCTGCTTTCTACATCAAAAATTTGAAAGAACATTTTGATAGGAGGAAGATCATGCATTTCCTAATGCATCTAAGACCTGGTCCAACATTCTTAGTGGGGGCACTCCTCCCACACTTGACATAGTTTTGGGGGACCTTCTCAGGGAATGAACTAAACTCATTACTCAATCGACCTTGGGGTTGAAATCTGATTCTAGAATAGAAACAGGCTTACTGATGAACAAATCCAAGCCCAAGAAGGACTTGTCCCGAGTACAGTGTTATGAATGTAAGGAATATGGACATATTATTTCACACTGTCAGAAGAAAATTTATTGTACTTATTGTAAGCAGCATGGGCATATCATTCCTGAATGTCCTACCCGACCAGTTAAGGGGAATGGTTCAAGCTCTAAGAAGAGTTAACATAAGGCTTTTCGGACAACAAATGAATGTGCAGATACAGGGAGTGCTACTTTAGCAGGAAATGATGAAAATTGTGGAGCTCTTACAGAAGAAAGAACGCGGTAGCTAGTATCCTCGACTATTTCCTCGGCATTTTCAGCCATCGGTCTTTCTGGTGAGTCATCCTATTATTGTTCCTCTTCATTACCATGCTCCTACTTCATTTTGAGTGGAGGTGGCCAACACTGTTGTGTATCTTATTAATATTTTTCCTTTATCTGTCTTGCATAGTACATCTCCTTTTCAAAGCTTGTTTCATTGTTCACCTGATTTCTCTGTTCTTCATGTCTTTGGTTGTGTGTTCATCTTCCACCTCATGAACTCACAAAGCTTACTCCCCAATCAGCAATGTGTGCTTTTGTGGGAGCCCTGATCATAAGGGCTTCCTCTGCTATGATCCATAATCTCGTCAAATTTGTGTATCCCACAATGTCATCTTTCTTGAAAACATTTCTTATTTTGCCCACATTCTAATTTACCTACTACTTTCATTTTGATACTTTATTCTTTTGATTCTACAGGTTCTTCTGATTCACCTCTTTCTATTCCAGATGCTCTGTTTCTTTTTTAGGAAGAAGCTAGCTGCTCCAGCTCCTATCGCTCTGCCCCCTTCATAACCAGAAGCTGATCCGTCATCTCTAGCCACGAGCTCATTTTCTTCTCTTGATCCTATAAGTACACTTGCACCTATCCATGATCCCCAACCATCCTCTGATCCCCCTTTACATTGTTCATCTCGTGTTTCTTTCCCTCTCGATTGTCAGCTCATGAGAAAGTGAGAGAGCAATGAGAGAGAAAAATGTTCAGATATGTTAGGGTTGATCAATCTGATCAAACCAACCCTGAAAAGATATGTTTATATTAATCTTATGTAAATGGACAAGATTGTCCTTACAAAGAGAATAAAGGAACTATATATTAAAGTACACACCTATTATAGTACAAGAAAGAAAAATAAAGTACAGTAGAATTACAAAACTACCCTTCAGTAGTTCTTCTACACTCCCCTTCAAACTGAAGTTGGGGTAGAAGCATCAGTTTGTCAACAAGGAAATTATGTCAGGCTTTGGTCATGGCTTTGGTGAAGAGATCTGTAGACCCAATGAAACATGTGGGAGAGAGATGTGACCCGCATGGAGAAGGTTACGAATGAAATGACAATCCACCTCAATATGTTTAGTCCACTCATGAAATACAAGATTGGTTGCAATCTTGATTGTACTCGTGTTGTTAGCAAACAGAGGAATAGCAGATGAGTGATCAATCTTCATGTCATGAAGAAGTGCCTTAAGCTAGATTATTTCACTACATACCGAAGACATGGCTCTGTACTCATGTTTCTTGCATTCATACACCAGCCAGTAATAGAGCGACGAGTGTCGGGACAACCTGCCTAGTCAGCATCTACATAAGCTCGAAGCTGTGTGTATGAAGAGGATGAGAAAAATAAGCCATGTGATAGTGTACTCCGTACATAACGTATAATTCAGAGAACTGCAGATTAGTGAGGCTGACGTGGAGCTGAAACAAACTAACTCAATCTGAACCGCATGGGAGATGTCAAGTCTAGTCATGGTTAGGTAGATAAGACTACCTACAAGTTGTCTATACAAGGTAGCATCAGGAAGAAGATCATCCTCACCTTTACTCAACTTACAATTAAGCTCTAGAGGTGTATCAACATGTTTAGAGTCAGTCAAGTGAGCAAGAGACACCAAATCAGAAGCATAGTTCTATTGGTTGACAAAGTAACCCCGATGACATCTTTGAATTTCGAGTCCAAGAAAGTATGTTAGTGGCCCAAGATCTTTCATTTTGAAAGAGTTACTAAGCAGAAGTTTGAGGTTGGTAATACCATCCACATCATCTCCAGTAATAAGGATGTAATCAACATAGACCAAAAGAAGAGTCAATCCCTGAGCCCGCTTGAGAGTGAAGAGAGTAGTCTGAAGCACTCTACTGAAAACCAGCTTCCAACAATACTGTATGGAAGCAATCAAACCAAGCTCATGGAGCTTGTTTAAGGCCATATAGAGATTTCTTCAGTTTACACACCAACTAAGGATTGTCACAGTAGCCAAGAGGTAGTTTCATATAAATTATCTCCTGTAACTCTCCATGGAGGAAGGCATTCTTGACGTCCATCTAATGAGTTGTCCATTGTTTGAGGGCAATAATGGTTAGTAGAAAACGAACTATTGTTATTTTGGCCACAGGTGCAAAAGTTTCATCATAGTCAATTCCATACTCTTGCTTGTAGAATTGAGCAACCAGACGGGCCTTATATCTGTCCAGAGTACCATCAGATTTAAGTTTTACGGTGTAAACCCACTGGCTACCAATTATGGAGGCATCTGGGGAAGGAGAGACAAGATCCCATGTATCATTTTTCAATAAAGCCTGAACCTCTAAATCCATAGCTTCTTTCCAATGCTCAACTGCTACAGCCTGGCTTTTAGACTTAGGAATATCTATGGATGACAAAACAGCTGAGAATGAGCTATGACTTGAAAAGAAGGCATAGCGATTAGGTGGACGAGAAATACGAGATGACCGACGCAAAGGAATAGATGAAGGTAAATCCTCAGGAGGAGAATTTGCACTTACAATAATGGTGGATGGAGAGGAATTACCAAACACAGTTGCTTGAGATGGAGGAGGCATAGGCAATGGACAAACTGGATGCTTCCAGAAGTACGTCTAAAGAGGTTGAAGAGAAGGAGAATCACCTGTAGGTCTAAAGTCATGTAGAACAAAAATGGATGGTGCAAGTAATTTACAAATATGTTCAAAGAATAAGAGATTCTCATGAAAGATGACATTGCGAGAAATGCGCAACCGACAAACTTTGGGATCATAACAAAAAAACCTCTTGTGTTCCGTACTATATCCCATGAAAGCACACATAGCTGATTGAGCTGTTAGTTTTTGCGTTCACAGAGAGGGAAATGGACAAAGCAAACGCATCCAAAGATACGAAGAATGGATAGGTTTGGTGAACGATCAAATAAAGATTGATGGGGAGAAGAATTTTCAACAATAGGTGTAGGAAGATTGTTGATGAGATGAACAACAGTGCGGGTCGCCTCCACCCAGAAGGTAAGGGGAGCATGAGAGTTTTGTATCAAGGACCTCACCATACTAGCAATATGACGGTTCTTGCGCTCCGGTACTCCATTATGTTGAGGAGTACAAAGACAAGATCTCTGGGACTGAATGCCATGTTGTTTAAGATAGGTTTAAAACTCACCATCCTCACCATCATAATACTCTCTCCCTGAATCTGACCTCAAAATATTTATGGTGCTTTTAAATTGGGTCATTACTATGGCATGAAAGTTCTTAAACATGGAGAAAACTTTTGATTTTTTTTGAAGAAAGTAAACCCATGTGTAACGAGTATAGTCATCAATGAATAATGCAAAGTACTTATAACCCAAGCGTGAAATAACTGGAGATGACCACGCATCACTATGAATGAGATAAAAAGGTGTAGATGCATGTTCAGTAGAAGATGGAAAAGGTAAAACATGACTTTTACTATAGCAACAAGTTAAACAAGATTTATCAATATTTTTTACTAAAGAAGTATTCAAAGGCAAACAACTAGAGGAAAATAAATAATCCAAATTCTTAGCATGAGTGGCCCAAATGTCTATGCCATAAATGACACATTATTACATGAAGAAATAGAGGAACTAGAAGCAGATAGAAAACAAGAATCCGGTGAAGATTTCTTAGTCTCAAATTCCAGAGCAAACAGCTTCCCAAGCCTATGCCCCTTCTCCTTCAGCTCCCCAATGTGCTGGTCCTGAATGAAACAACCATCATGAGTAAATAAGACATTATGACCATCATCAACAAGTTGTCCAACAGATATTACACTAGTAGTCAATTTAGGCACAAAGAAAGTTTTGAGAAGATGTAAGGGTTTGGTCTTAGTGGTGGATAAGAACAAATCATTACAACCATATATAGGTAAAGAATCACCATTAATAGTAATAATATGGTTGTTGAAGGATCTAGGTTTAGGAGACTAACCGGAGGAGGCCCCAGTCATGTGATTTGAGGCCCCTGAATCAATAATCCACATGTGACAAGGAAATGAACACAAAAAAGCAGACTTACTAACCAGTCCAAAAGCAGAAAAAGCAGAAGAAATAGCTGAAGACATGAACTCACGGATCTTTTCTTCAGTCAAATTTCCCTGGGTATCTGATTTATGGGCTGATGATGAGGAGGTAGCATCAGTAGAAACAGATTCGATTGAGGCCTAATAAGCCTTATGTTGTCCTTTCTTGGGAGGCCTAGTTGGACATTCCACAATAATATGTCCTTGCTATTTGCAGTAGGTACAAAAGTTTTCTTCTTGCAGTGGGATGCCACATGACCAAATTCTTTGCATTCATAACACTAGAACTTCGAGAAGTCTTTCTTACCCTTTTGTTTGGTGGCTAAAAACACAGTATCAATCCCATATTCCTTCTTCTGATCAAGTGCAGATAAGGTAAGAAGACGTGTTTCCTCCCGTAACAACTCTCCAAGGACTGCATCTAGTTCAGGCACTAGTTCTCACGTGAGAATGCCTTTTTTTTATCATACCATAATAACAATAATATTGAGTCTTTATCTTTCTCTAATGTGAACAGAGTCAAAACTTAGAGTTCCATTAATCATGAGAAACAAAATCTATGGCAAAAACCTAGATAAGAAAGCATCTTACATCTACCAGACTACCATGAGCCCAACCTAGAGTACAATTTACTCGTAGATCCAAGGATGGAGGCTGCTCTACTAACCAACGGTGCCATCAGGGAACCATAATGCGATCTCTTTCTTTGCGCTCTCAATTGAATCGCTTCCATGGATGACATTCCTGCCAATCTCAATGGCATAATCACCACGGATAGTGCCAGGGGGAGAATCCGAGGGGTTGGTAGCCCCAATGATCTTCCTGCTCATAACAACGACATTCTTCCCCTCCCACACCATGGCGACCACAGGACCAAAAAATGATGTACTCAACCAGTCCATTAAAGAATGGCTTGGCAGACAAGTCCTCATAGTGCTTCTCAGCAAAAGCTCGCTCCACACTCATGAGCTTCAAGCCTTTCAAGGAAAAACCTTTCTTCTCAAATCTGTTGATGATCTCACCAACCAGGCCCCTTTGAATGCCATCGGGCTTGATCATGATGAAGGTCTGCTCAATTTTCTTCTGAGTTCTTGTCAAGACCCTAGATTTCAGCCGTAGCTTCGCAAAAGTGGAGATTCTCACGTGAGAATGTTGTTGCATAGAGTTTCATAGTCAGGCCTGAGATGCATCAAGAAGTGCATGGTCTTTCTCTTAGTGAGATGCTTCTTCATAGTCTTCACACAACAATATGTACAAAGATTTACAAATCTTGCATGGTATTCCTGAATCCGCTTCTCCCCTTGAACATAGGAGAAGATATCGATTTCGATCTGATATTGCCTAGACATATTTGATTGTTGATATACCTTTTCTAGGTATTCGAACATGTCATGGGTAGATTTGAGACCTCTCATCGGAATACTGACATCCATTGAGATAGACCCAAGTATCCATGAGATAACCTGAGCATTTTCAATTCTCCACTGTTTCAGCCCTTTGACATCACTTGTGTCATGCATGGGAGTGGAACCGTCAATGTAACCCCACATGCCTTTCCCTTCAATGAAGTACTGAAAATGAAATTTCCAGAGAGCATAGTTGCTCCCATCAAACTTGACAGAAATAAATTCATTCTTTTCCAAAGCCATAATGAAAAGGAAACAAGTAAAGACTGATCTAATCAAGCAGTAAGGAAGTAATCAAGTTGTGTCAAAGAAACTAATAATAGAAGCCTCTTACAGTCACCAAAAATCGTCCAAGTTCCAGCGAAAGAAGAAAACTTGAAACACAGCCCAGAAAAGGAAAGTTTGGGTGCAGCCGCCTAGAAGAGATGCATTAATCTCTCTAAAATCTTCTAAGATCTTGATGAAAGTTTCAGAATATGATGAGAGGGCCCAGGCGACACTTCCTTTCAAATCTTACTGCAAACTGATGTCGTACGAGAGAGATCTTTAGAGAAGATGGGCCGAATGGCCCATAGGCTATTTATCCTTTTTTTATCTTTTATGTTCTTTGCTGTAATGGACCTTATTCTGGGCCTATTCTTTCTATGTTATGTTCTTTTAGTTTCTTGCCCAACTAAGGGCCACTTTGTAAATTATCAAAGTTTAACTTAATAAAATTGTGTTAGGGGTGTAAGAGTAGAGATTAAGGTTCGAAATTCTCTTACTCTAAACCCTTATTGCCGCCATCTTCTTCTTCATCTTCTCTTCCTTAGAAGAATGATTTATGTTATTTTATTTTGATTTCTACATCTGTTCTAAATAATCCTTTGTTCTCAAAAGATTGTTTTTCTTCTTGGTATCAGAGCAGGCTCTCTTTTCCCTTTTTCACCCCCTTTTTTCCCATACACAATGTATATGGAGAACTGAATCGTACAGACTGTTAAAGAGACTCTATTCTGCCCAATTGTTAGTGGTTTCTGGAGAGAAGAGGACTGACTGCCCGAAACCCTAATTTTTCTGGAGAAATCTGGTTGTGGGTTCCGTAGGGTGTTTAGACTAGGTGCTCAGTGTTTGGAGGCTTTCTGATTTTCTTTCTTGAAGATCGAACCAAGTTAGTTGGTGTTTCGTGTAGTCTACAAGGCGCGGCTCCTTTTTCTGTTTCTCCCAGCTTTCGGGTGTGACTCAGATTTGTGGTACTGCTGCATAGAGGTAGGCTTAACATAGTCCTTGTTCCATCTTCATTCGGTGTTTTTGAAGTTGGTTGAAATCTTTTTTTGAAGTGTTTAAAGAGATGAACTCCTCAGATATTGAAAACAATAATGTTGCAGAACCCAGACAGGTTCCGGGAGCCTCTGTTGACCCTTTACTGACTGTGACCACAATCAAGCTAGATGGAACTAATTATCTAGCATAGTCACAATTGGTAAAGATTCATATCTGTAGTAGAGGAAAGTGGGGTTTTATCTCCAGGAGTAAAAAGGCTCCCTCAGAAGATGATCCAATCATCTTCTGAGAAGTGGATGCAAGAAAATTATACTGTTATTGGGTGGCTTGTGAACTCAATGCAGCCACAGATTAGTCAACACTATTTGTGGATGAATTCAGCAAAGGAAAATCTAGGATAGTGTTGCTGAAACCTATTCCCAAAAATTAAATGTKGYYAGAGCTTACAAGTTGAGAAGTGATGTGAAGAATTTAAGACAGGGGGAGAAACCTTTAGCTGTATACTTCTCAACACTGAAGTCTTTGTGGCAAGAAATAGATTTGATAGAAGYTRTAACCTAGGACACCACTAATGATGCAGAGACCTACAAAAAACTGGTTGAGAGAAACAGGGTGTTTAAGTTCTTAACTGGACTAAACCCAAAGTATGATATTACAAAACAAAATATTTTATCCAAGGATAGTGTCTCACTGTCACAAGCATATGCCTTGGTAAGTAGTGAAGAGAGCAGAAGGATTGTCTAGGTTCAAGGGGCTGGTCTAAATGATTGCTTTGCTAATATGGGAGTGAAACCCAAAGGGGTTGTAGGAACTCCAAGTGGCTCAGGGAAGAAAGAGGTTGTCTGTGAGTATTGTAAAAGGCCAAAACACACTAAAGACAAGTGCTAGAAATTACATCCTGAGCTTCTTCCTCTTCGGTTTCAAAAGAAGCATGATAATAAAAGGGTAGGGAGTGCTAATGTTGCTGCTAGTCTAGATAGTGACAAGTACCAAACTGAAGAGATGACAGCTAGTGCGCAGTTAGCAGCCATGAAAGCAGAATATGAGAAATTTGGGAGGATGATCAGTCACCTAGAGGGTGTGACTTCTTCTTCCAACCCTTCAAAAAATTCAACCACTTCTGCATTTTCTCATTCAGGTATATGGGCTTCTGCCAATCATGCAACCATTTCAGGTAATCGTAGGATCCCTTGGATTATTGATTCAGGTGCTTCTGATCATATGAACAACCTTTCTACCTTGTTTGTTTCATATGATTTACTTCCTGGACGTGACAAAATCACCCTTGCTGATGGTTTTCTTGCCTCTATCTCCGGCAAGGGAACCATCAAGGCTACAGATTCCTTGATCCTTCCTTCTGCTCTTCATGTACCTAGACTAAATACAAACTTGTTATCTGTAAGTAGYYTAACTAAGTCATTAAAHTGTTGTRTAACCTTCTTCCCTTCCTATTGTGTTTTTTAGGATCTGGAGTCTTAGAAGGTGATTGGGAGTGGCCGTGAGGCAAATGGAATATACCTGCTTGATACTCCGAGACAATGCCCTGAACAACCAAGAAAAGCTGCTTTTGGGTCTATATCTACAGAGTCTATCAGTCGAGTCATGTTATGTCATTTTCGTTTGGGTCATCTTTCTTTTTCTGCATTGAGTCATTTATTCCCTTAACTATTTAAGGGAATTAGTTTGTCCAGTCTTCATTTAAGTCTTGTGAGCTGTCAAAGCATTGTAGAAACAGTTATCCCTTTAGTAATAAAAGATCTTCTTCTCCTTTTAATATTGTGCACTCTGATGTGTGGGGGCTTTACCACATACCCTCTATGGGTGGCTAGTGGCTACAAATATTTTATCTTATTCATTGATGACTTTTCTCAGTTTACTTGGATATTCCTGATGAAATCCCGTGATAAAGTTCCCAGACTTTGAGGCAATTCCATGAATTTGTCCTAACCCAGTTTGATACCAGGATTAAAATTTTCAGATCTGACAATGCAAAAGAATATTTTGAGAAGA